GCAGCCATCCTCCTGCCTCAGCCTCGCAGCACCAGGCAGGCCCAAAGCCCTGAATGAAGGCAGCCATCCCTAGCCCCCCGGGGCCCAGCTGCGTCCCTGCCGGCACCGCCACCTGCGTCCTGGACGCCCCCACCCCGGCCGCCGGACCCTGTGCCTCCGGCTCTGCAGCTCGCGGACGCCCAAGACCCCGTCCCGGTCCCTGTCCCAGGCCACAGCCCGGCAGGAGGACCGTGGCTGAGGGGCCAAGGGCGTCGCGTTCCTGCTCGAGACGGCCACGCGCTATTCCTTCCTGTTTTTCCCGGTCTTTAGTTCCAGAATCCAGGCTGCGGCTGCTTTGTCACCTCGAATCCCCAGACCCAAAGAGTTCGGTTATGGGGCAGCGGGACGCGCGCGCCCCGGCTGCGGACCCAGAACCTGGAGCCGCGCGGCTCCTGAGCGCCGAGCGCCCTCTAGTGTCGGCCCGCGGTAAGGCGGGCCGGCGCGCACCCCTCGAGATTCCTCGCCGCCCCCATCTCTGCTACCGCTAAGCTGCTTTCAGGCCCCCGCTGCGAAACCGCATTGACAGTTTAGAAAACCACAGGTGACCTGACATGCTCTGAGCACTTTCTGTGAGCCTGGCCCTGCGCTGATTTCCCTCGCTTACCCGCCAGGAAGGGAGGTTTAGGGTTTTTTGTTTTTTGTTTTTTGTTTTTTTTCAGTGCTGAGATTTGAACCCGGGGCCTCGCACATGCTGGGTAAGCACTGTGTGGCTGAGCTGCAATCTTAGTGCAGTTGAGGTCCTGCTGTGCTATTATAAAGGAGCAGCATCCCCAGAAGATGCCAGGATAGCTGCAGGCAAACGTCTCCTGCTTACTGGGGAAAATCTTAATATAAGTGAATCCAGCTTACTTATGTCACCATCCCAGGTATGGGAGGACAATAACCAGCCTTTGTCAAGTTTGTAAAGAAAGGGGTAGAAAGAAATTATCTAGGTTAAGGTTTTGTTTTGTTTTTTGAGATAGGGTCTCGATATGTAGTCCAGGCTGACCTTGAACTCACAGTGATCCTCCTGCCTCAGCCTCCCAAGTGCTGGGATTTCAGGAGTGCACCCACCATGTCCAGCACTTCTGTCTACTTCTATTCCGCTACCTTTGTAGGCTACTGTTTACCCACCTTGACTACCACGGCAGCTTCCTAAATAGCATATTTCTGTTTTCATCCACTAGAATTCATTATTCGTAGAACAAAGGGATCTTCACAATCCCATCATGCTGCTCTCTGGCCTAACCCCTCAGCGACCTCCTGCCACACCCACTGAAAGCCAAACTCCAGAGCCGTGGTGATCCCTGCTGCGTGAGAGGCCTCATCAGGACGATCGCAAGTTCGAGCCCAGCCTGGGGAACTCAGGGAAACCTTGCCTCGATATGGAACTTAGGAAGGACTGGGACCGTAGCTCGGGGTGGAGCTTGGTTATCACGCAGAAGGCTCTGGCCTCGACACTCAGCACACAACAAATAGCAAAAAAAACAAACCAAATCAAACGCCCTGCTGTGGCCTCCAAGGGCCGCGGGATCAGGCCTTCGCCTGGCTTTCAATCCCACCCCCAATCCCACCCCTCCTCTACTCACGCCACGTCCTGTCCCTTCAGTGCCCGACCTCTTGCCTACTTGTCCTGGCAGAGGGTTCCTTGGGAAAGGTGGGCATGGCGGGGCACGCCTGTATTCCCCACACTTGGGAGGCTGGGGCAGGAGAATCTCTATCACTGGGTATTCGAGTCCAGTCCGGAATGCAGAGCGAGACCCTGTCTCAGAAAAGAAGGTGGTGTCCCTTGGGAAACTCCCTTTGATGTTGAGTCCAAATCTCTTTCGAACCAATTAAATTGGAAAACAAGAATTGTATTCCCATGGTCATCCAACCATATGCTCAGAGAGACAGACAGACAGACAGACAGAGAAAGAGAGAGAGGCCCTGCAGCAGACTGAACAATTCTTGGTTCTTGGCGCTTACACCCTCCCGCATTAGCCAGGGGAGAGGGACTTAGAACGTGCAGGTATCGGGCAGTCTGCAGAGACCCAGTGGAGCTGAGTTAGCTCTAGAATCAGACCGATCTGGATCGGCCCTAGTGAAGCTTCAGTGAAAGGAGAACCAGTCACGGGTACTCAATTACCCATCAGAAAAAAGCCCAACATTCCTTAGAAGACTAGAACAATACATGCAACCACCCAAAACACCTATGTTCGGCAGATAGCTGGGCACACCTGCAGTCCCAGCTACTCAGGAGGCTGAGGCAGGGTGAGTGCTCGAGCCCAGAAGTTCCAGGCCAGTTTGGACAGCGTAGCAGCGAGGCCCTCATCTCAGAATATTTTTAACCAGGTGGTCAAACAGGAAAAAATTATCCATAGCCTGAAAAGAAATCGAGCAGCAGAAATGGACACCAAATTTAGAGATGCCGGAATTAATACACAAGGATATTAGAACAACCAGCCATTATAAGTCTTACAAATATGCTTAAGCAGGTAAAGAAAACATAAATATGATGGGGAGTGAAAAGGAAGACTTTTTTCCCATGTTTTTTTTTCTTTTTGAGACAGGGTCTCACTATGCAGTTCAGGCTGGCCTTGAGCTCACTTTGTAGCCCAGGCTGGCCTCGAACTCACA